AGGGTGTGAATAGGGTAAGGTGTAAAGTCAAATTTTATACAATCATTTCATTAATATATATTGATTTCAACCCACAATTTTAAGCAAAATCAACGGATATCGTGTGCAAGAAACAGCACATGAAAAAGTCAATGGTTTATCTTCAAAGTTTTTGACTACAATAAAATAAAATAAATTAGAAGTAAAATATAACTTAGGTAATTTAATAAAATATGATTAGCTTATATATAAATAATGATATAATATACGTATATGCTATGATGTCTATTGAAATAGTTGAAAAGATTGAGAAGTTACGTTAGGTATGAGATATTTTGTGGAAAAAATTATCTGAATTTAATATGTATATGAGAGAATACTTAATTTAATTATGACATGACACGTAGATAGATAGCGGAGTGATAAAATAGTGCAGTTGGTTTACTATATCTATTAAAAGTCGTTTGAAGATGCATGTGCTTAAGAAAAAGCTAGCTAGGTTTAGGTTTCAATGATCGTAAATGCTTGATCACGTAGGTAAATTAAAACATAGTATATATATATATGTATCTATATTATTATTATTATTATTATTATTGTGTGAGTTCAACTGAATTTATGAAAAAAAAAAAAAGGTCTCATATTTATTTAGTATTTTGAGTTAAATTATTTTTTTATTCCAGAGAAAATAAATTATATAGGTAGTAAGTATAATAATTATATATGTTTTGTAGTGTTATACTCTTGTTTGTTACTTAACTTAGGAAATACTCATGCATAATGTTTGTAATTATCTCGTGATATCTCCTACTTCTTTTAATATTTATCATTTAAGATCGTACTAGAGTGATAAATACATTTTTATTTTAAAAAAATAATATTCAGGTTCAAACTTTAGAAATAAATCGTGTTTAGTAACATTGTTAAAGTTTGAGCAATTTATTTTTACCTCTTAAATTGATATTCTCTGACGCATGTGAGTTTGAATTAATTGAGCTTCAAAAAACATATCTTAAATCTCCTATTTTATGTTAATTAAAGAATCAATGTTCACAGTATTTATCTGAGACTTGACTAAATTCAGATCGTGTCGAAGAGTTTTAAGAGGATTCAAATTCGAGATATTCAATTAAGGATGAAAAATGATATCGTTATTTAGCATGACTCAAAATCGAAACTGTTTTGATTAAAGATGAAACAAATACTTATCATTTCACCACGTCCTTATTGAAATCGGAGTAGGATTTCCATGATAAATTGAACAAGATTATGTCTTAATTAATTCCACCAATTATTATATTATATAGTAGTAGTTTATTAATAAAAATAAAATAAGATAAAATGGTGCTTCATGCATTTCCCATTCCTTATGTCATGCAAGTGGTTTACGTACCATGTTCTTCTTTGAATTAGTCAATTTTTCAATTTTTTTTAAAAATGTCAAAAACAAGATGATTAATTTTTTAAATCAAAAATTGAAAATAAAATATATTTTATGGTCTAGAAACCAAATAATACTTTATGAATTCGAGTTTGAAATTTTATTATATATAATAATTTTAATTTATTGAGTTCAAAATTTATTATTTAACTACTTTTTAAGTTAAATTATATATATATTATATTCGCCTCTAATAACTACTAGTTATATATTTTAGAATATAAAAAAAAAAACTAGATTACACATTGATATTTGCAAGTCATATCGAAAATAGTATTTCTTACGTAGTAATTATTGACAAGTAAGCTTAAATTGATTTTCTTAAACACTACTAGATAATTATTTATGCGCTTACAATACAATAAAACCTCTATAAATTAATATAGACGGGACCATGAAATATTATTATTTTGTAGAGGTATTATTTAATCAATAAATTAATATTTATTAATTTAAAGACTGTTTGACACCAAAAAAATTATCCAGGGATGAAATCTCAAAAAATTTGAAAGAATCCACTTGTGAAAATATCATTCATGAACTTGAGGTCATGATTAATGATCTCGGTTACCGCGATAAAATGGATGTTAATAACCTATTGGATAGGTGAAAATGATACATGTTTAGAGGTCCAAAATTTAGAACAAATTGTGGATATCATTGGAAAAATAGTGTTGATGATAAAGTTGAGGATGATACAATACCTTTGGAACTAGTTATGCGTAAGAAAACACTTACATTTAGAACTCTTCACAATTTTATGGTGCAATTAGAAAAGACAATACCAAAACTTTTGAATACAATAAGAAAAGTTAGAGATGAGCTTCAACTAGATTTAAATTTTAACAAAAAAACAGAACATAATTGAATCATATTTCACTAATTTTCTTAGATATATTTGTACTTTTAAGGAATTATTAATTTGTAATATTAATGGGACCATATATTTATATAGGAGTCTCCTGATAATATATTATCTTATTATCATATCGAAATGGGTGATTTTTTCCATTGGCCCAAGTCGGGACCGAAGGGAATTATTATCTTAGAGAGATTATTAATTAATCGAATATTAATTTAGTGAGGTTTTACTGTAGTTAATTAGTTATTAATACACGTTGACTTGACACACCATATCAAGCATATAATAGTTATTTCTTTGTATGTACGTAAAATACTTATCAATTAAGTAATCTTTAATTTTCTAATTAAATACTAATTGCAAGTTAAGTTTTTCCCCTACAACTATTAATTATTTCTAAAAAAACACCAAAAAAGTATATTACAAATTAATTTTCACAACCCTAACATAGTTATTTTCTTTGCATGTAAGTAACATGCATTAATTAAGTAAGCTCTAATTTTTCTCTTTATGTACACTAACTTATAGATTTCAAAAATGTGTTTAAACCACTAATAATCTAGTCATTTATATAAATTATAACAATTAATATACGTTGTGTTCACGTAAGTTTTATTACCAAACAAAATATCACTATATCCTTTTTTTTTTCTCTTAGTTTCACACTCGTTGGTCATAAAATCGAAAATTTTTATTTCTAAAAGTAAAGTACTCCATATAAAAAACAACTCTATTTTATATGTTTGAATTTAAAATTTCTGATTAAGAACATAAAGATAATTAGGATTGGACGTAAGTTTCCAAAAATTTAATTATTAAATCGAATCAAAATTTATTGTGTCAAAGTTTGATTTACCATATCTGAATGGATTTTGGAAATTTGGTATTCGATATCTACTTTCAATTACTAATTATTGAAATCGATCTTTGAAAATACATTGATATCGATCTTTGAAAATAATGATATGAATATCGAGTGGTTATTATGTCAAAGAAAAAAGTTGGTCATAAAATCGAAAATTTTCACTTTAAAAGTAAAGTATTCCATATCAAAAGCAACTCCATTTTACGTGTTCGAATTCAAAATTTCTGATTAAAAACATAACGATAATTAGGATAGGACGTAAATCACCAAAAATCAAATTATCAAATCAAATATTACCGTTTCGAAAATGGATTTATTGTATCTAAATGAACTTTGAAGGTTCGCTATTCAATATCCAATTATTAAAATTAAAATTTTAAAAATACTGATCTAAATATCGAACGTCCAAACCGTAGAGATTATTACTATCCAACCAACTACTATACAAACTTTGGTGGTTTCTAATTAAGTTGTGTTTTAATATGAGACAAAATATCAATAATTTTCCAAGGTTTCAACTAACCTAATGTTTGATAATTATGATAAAGAAAACTACAATACAAGTCAACTCCATTGTTCACACGCCGTTTTATATGCAAAATCACAATCAACACTTACACCGACCCACTATATATCCCCTTCTAACCACCCACCCCCACAAGTATATCCATGGTGGGTGGACCCCGCGATGAAATCGGATTTATATATACCGTATAATTTTTTGAAGATGAATATCGATAAGACGATCAAAGGTTATGAAGTGACGAGCGATATATAAAACATAATCCTCATTCATAATCGATAGTAATTTTGATAAGATCGTTAAAGATTGTAATGAATGATAATTCGGCGATAATTTATCTAGATAGTTAAATATAGTTTGAAAGATCGTGAAAAAATATGACGGATTTTTTCATTCATTTTTCAAGAGTTTTTTTTAAGAAAATGAATTATTAGAGATTACGACGAATAATAAGAAATTCTATATTCAAAATTATAAACGTTTTTCACAAAATTATTAAAAGATTGTGGACCTAACTGTGATGGATGATAAGTAATTTTTCATTCATTTATCAAAATTATTTTTTCTAAAGAATTATTAAAGATTATAATGATTAATAAGTAATCCTATATTTATAATTATAATATTTTTTTTCACAAAATCATTAAAGATTGTATGGTCGATAGATAACTCTCTCCATTCATAATCACAAATATTTCTCACAAATTCATAATCATATCTAAGTATTTTTTTTCTTATAAGATTATTAAAAATTATAGTTAGTGTAAGTATTCCATTTTCCACAATTGAAAAAAAATCTAGTTTGAGCTTTATAAGTAAAATATAATCCTTTAGTTCTTTTTTATTTGTCATGTTTTATTTCTCAAGTATTAAATCGTATGAATTTTGATTAGCATTTTAAGATACATTCTTTTAGTTTTTCAATACCTAAAATCTGCATTTAGTTTAAAAAATTAGTTAGTTAACTCTCATGAAGCGAAATATGACAAACATAAATAAACAAAATGAGTAAAAAATAACAATAATCTACTCAATATAATTTCGTAAAATGTTAGTGTCATAAATTTATTGTAATTCAACGAAAAAAACAAACCACCAAAGAAATTCCTCACAAGAACCCAAAAAACACATACATCACACACTTGATAACCTTGGTTTAACCTCCCCTGGCTTTTGCTCTCTCTCTCTCTCTCTTTCAATATATTTATGCAAAAAACAAATATACAAAGCACATATTTTGTACATTCTTCTCTCTCTAGCTGTGTTTGTTTTCTTGGAAAATCCTTTGAGAAAATTTGAAAAAATATCAGTTTTTTGCCCTTTCAAGCCAACCCCATTTCCCTAAAAACTGAAAAAATCCATGTAGTCCTCACGGATCTTTCAATTCCAGCACAAAATCCAAGATTCTTGAAAAAGGGTGTTGAAAAAATCTGATTTTTCTGGCATTTTTGGTGTGAGAAATGGTGGTGAAGATGATGAAATGGCGTCCATGGCCACCTCTCATTTCTAAGAAATTTGAGGTTAAGATTTTTGTAGGAAAGGTTGAGAATTTGGTGTGTGAGGTGTCTTCTAGCGGTGGTGTTGCGGTGGAGATCAGGTGGAAAGGGCCACCAAAAATAGCTTTGAGTTCTTTTAGAAAGACAGTGAAGAGGAACTGTACTAGAGAAGAAATGGTGAAAAATGGACCAAACGGTGGCGTTTTGGTGGAATGGGATGAAGAATTTCAGAGTTTATGTAATTTGTCTGGTTATAAAGACAATGTGTTTCATCCATGGGAGATTGCCTTCACTGTATTGAATGTGAGATTCTTCAGTTTCTCTTTAGATTTTAGAAATTTTTTTATTCAGATTCATATTTAATGTTTTTACCTTATATTTACTTAGATCTTTTATGGAGTAGTAACTTTGACCTTAACTCTTTATGGTTTGATTAGGATTGGTTGAAATTATGTTTAATTGTTTTTAGGGGTAGATGTAAGTGATGTGATCTATTGAAAATGAGTTTTCTTGATGTACTTGGATGGATATGTTGAAAAAATACCTCAATTTGTTTTTATGGTTTGATTTTAGATGGATTGATAACATTGTAGAAAAAGATGTCACTATATGTCTCAGTTGGTTGGCTACGACTCTCACCTTGTTGGTGAAGGTTCGATTCCCTACATTGTAATCCCGCCACATTGCTCCTTTCCCTACTCCCAATTTTAAAAAAGAATAATCATTTTTGTGGTGATTGTTTGTAGAAAACTATGCCTAAAGCTACTTTTTTTTTTGTTCAAAATCTGTTTAGAAGGCTCTACCATCTGATATCTTGATAATTTTTGGGGAAATGTTTTATTTTTTATACGACTTTGAGGTTTGAACTAACTCGAGTGGTTATTGTGTTTGTTTGCTGTCTAAAAGAAAGATTCTGGTAGTTATGCTTACATGGCCTAAGATGATGGAAGTCGGTAAGATAAGGAACATTTTCATAGAATTTTGTTGTTATGAAGCCACTGCACACTGAGATTTATGCTGCTGTTTCCACTTAGGTAGTTAGTGCTATGAGATTCATATTTGTCGCGTTGCATCCATTGCGTAAGCTAAAAGTTCCTCCTCCTCTTGATTATCTTAATGATTTGTTGGTGAAACTTTTGTCGTCTTGCATCTGTCGGTTGCCTTGTTTCAGTGCTAATACCTGCCTATTTTGTTACTTTCTTACTGTATGGATGTCGTAGATAGTAAATTTTGTTTGCTTGGATTCTCTAGTGCCTTCCTTTAAACGTGATAGTAAGTTTATGTCGGAAGGCTGGAAACGAGATGTAATTCTTTCTATTTGTGTAGTCTAATAGATGGCTTGTCTTTTCTTTAGTGGTTCAAGAAAATCTAAAGGACCGTTTTTGTTTGTAATGCGGTTCGTTTTGTCATTGACATCTCCTAGATCTAGAACAAACTTGTGGGCTTAAACAGTAATCCATTAAATGAAACTGAGATTTAGAGATTGAACTAAGAAGAAGATAGATGACTTATTTTGTTTCTTCCGGATCGCTTGCTACTTATAAATGAATACTAAACTTTGGATGGTTGTAAGTACATGCATCCAATATGGCTTATTAGGTTAAAAGGGCGGTGCTCCGATTCTTTCACATTACATCATAGCCAACTTTATAAAACTTAGTCCTCCGAATCCGCACTCATAACACTCATGATCCCCGTAACTTGGTAACACATGGGAACATCAACAACAATAACAACAAACCTAGTCTAATTCCACAAGTGGGGTCTAGGGAGGGTAGGATGTACGTTGAGACCTTACCCTTACCTTTGTGCGGTAGAGAGACTGTTTACGAAAGACCCTTGACTCAAAAGAAGTGAAATCAAAGCAATATTGAATAAGAAAATAATGAAAACAAAATATCAAGATGAACAAAGCAAAAGAAGCAACAAGTAGTATTAAAAATTAAAGAATAAGCTACTATACTAACTAATACTACATAGGGAGAAGATAGGCCGATGGAAATTGTTGAAAAATTTAATGTCGATTATTAGCTATATTATCTTCCAGATTATTTTTTTTCAAATCTACACAAGCATCTCAGTTTCTATATCTGTGAACTGATTTATGGTTTCTGCCAGTTTTAATGTTTGCTCAAGGTTCAATTTTTGGAGTTCAGTTTCGTTTAAGATTCACCTTCCTTATCTAGTTCTTCAATTTATATGATTTGATTTCAATGGTATAATTTCTCATTAAAGATATAGATGCTATTTTGTTTATTTAGATTCTTATAGCTGACATTTCTTAACCATCTGTTGATTCTTTTTCTGCTCCAGGGTATGAATGGGAAGAATAAGGCACCTATTGTTGGTTCAGCTGTCTTAAATGTTGCTGAATTTGCTGCCAAGATAGAGGAGAGAGAATTTAAACTGAACATTCCACTGGTTGTTCCAGGGGGTGCTTCCGATACTCGGCCCATGCTTTGTGTATGCTCCTTTTATTTCATGAGTTAATTTCTTACAATAACATGTTATTTGTACTGCTACCCTCCTCAAAGACCTATTCCCCCTTGTTATTATTTTTACTTGACTTGATCTCGACATGTCATGCAGATATCGCTTAGCTTGTTCGAACTAAGAGCTACCCAAGAGTCGACAGAGTTGGTTCAGAGGCCACTAGCTCCTGTCCAATCTCCAGCACGGTCCGTAGAAACTCCACCAGTAGAAAAGGATGAGCTTTCTGCGCTCAAAGCTGGCCTCAGAAAGGTTAAAATATTTACGGAGTATGTATCAACTCGGAGAGCAAAGAAAGCTTGTCGAGAAGAGGAGGGTAGTGAAGAAAGAAGCTCAGCGAGGAGCGAAGAGGGGGAATATGCATATCCTTTTGATTCTGAGTCCAATGATGAGTATGAAGAAGGAGAGTCAGATGAGGCAAAGGAGGATCCTACTGTTAGGAAGTCATTTAGTTATGGTCCATTGGCTTATGCGAATTGTGCAGGAGTTTCTTTTCATTCTAGTACAAGGGTCAACGGTGAGGGTGAGGATTGGGTTTACTTTAGCAACCGTAGATCAGATGTGGGCTGCTCACAAATGGATGACCAGGTCACCTGTGCTTCTGATCTTGTAGTTTTGCAGAATTCAAAGCGCAGTATCCTTCCTTGGAGGAAGAGGAAGCTGAGCTTTAGATCTCCTAAATCGAAGGGGGAACCGTTGTTGAAGAAGGATAATGGGGAAGAAGGTGGAGATGATATTGACTTCGATCGTCGGCAGCTCAGTTCTGATGAAGCTCTTTCATTTGGGGTAAGATCTATCGCCTCTCTTTTATCTGACGTTCTACTTCGTAGTTTTATCTGTACTGGCTATCCAAAAACCAAAATTTGGATTAGGATTATGCTTTAATCTTGTTGCCCATACTACTTGGACATCTGCATAAAGCATCCTTGCCTAGTAATTATATGTAAAGTTCACAAAGTGCACTTTAGCAAACCACGTTTCCTTTTCTAGAGTATGTTGAGTCAAATGAGAGTAGTTAAAATTTAGATCGTATTGCTTAGGCAGTAATTTTCTAACCTTATACATCTAATGAGTCCATATTGGTGCTTGGCGCTATCTCAAATTATCTAATAAATCTGCTACTTTGAGGCCACTCCATTTTTTTTTACATGTAAATTTGATGTTGTCTAGCAGGTACACAAGGTGGAGGAAGACTCGACTGCTAATCGATCTTCAGTATCTGAGTTTGGTGATGACAATTTTGCTGTTGGCTGTTGGGAACAGAAAGAGATAGTAAGTCGGGATGGACACATGAAGCTTCAAACTCAGGTGTTCTTTGCTTCCATTGACCAGCGCAGTGAACGAGCTGCTGGAGAAAGTGCATGCACAGCCCTTGTGGCTGTGGTTGCTGATTGGTTGCAGAACAATCGCGATCTCATGCCAATTAAATCACAGTTTGATAGCTTAATTAGAGAAGGTTCATTAGAATGGAGGAAACTTTGTGAAAATGAGAAATACAGGGAACGGTTCCCTGACAAACACTTTGATCTGGAGACGGTCCTTCAAGCCAAAATTCGCTCCATATCTGTCGTGCCAGAGAATTCCTTTGTCGGTTTTTTCCACCCTGATGGGATGGATGAAGGAGGATTTGATTTCTTGCATGGTGCCATGTCATTCGACAATATCTGGGATGAAATTAGCCGCGCTGGATTACAGTATGCTTCTGTGCGTGAACCACAAATCTATATCGTCAGCTGGAACGATCATTTTTTTGTCCTGAAGGTTGAAGCTGAAGCTTACTACATCATCGATACCTTAGGTGAAAGACTCTATGAAGGCTGCAATCAAGCTTACATTCTGAAGTTTGATAAGGAAACAACCATCTATAAACAGCCGGACACTACACAGTCGACAGAAGAAAAACCTGCTGTGGATCAGCAAACTATTTCTACCACAGCGGAGACAAAACTTAGCGATGGTCCTCATGCAAATGCAACGCATGGTTCTCTAGAGAGTGAAGCTGTGAACGAATCAGATGAACCATTGAAGGCTGAGAGCGCAGAAGAAATTATCTGTCAAGGCAAAGAGTCATGCAAAGACTACATCAAGAGTTTTTTGGCTGCCATACCAATCAGGGAACTGCAGGCAGATATCAAGAAGGGTTTGAAAACATCAACCCCTCTTCATCAGCGGCTTCAGATTGAACTTCATTTCACTCATTTACAACAACAACCACTCATAACTACTCCGGCAATAGAGATAGCAACGGCTGCACAAGAACCGCCTGCAGTTGCAATGACTGAGATCTCGGCGTAAGAGTCTTTTCAACTGTAAATTTTAAGAAGTGTGTGATAGTTTCTAACTAGTTTTCGTTCTGTCGTTAGTGATGTTTTGTGTTGCATTAGAGTAAAGATAGTGTTAAGCCTTTTAGGGAAGTAAAAGTTTGTAAATCAACCTTCTGTCTTGGACTTATAATAGATGGTTTCTAACTTCTGTTTTTGTACTATCATTGCATACCTTTTTTTTTAAAAAAAAAATGTTTACATAATTGGCATACATTAATTAGAGCTCTTGTTTTGAAGATGATTTGTTCCATAGATGTTAAGAAAGTTGAATAGAATGTTCAAAAGTTGATTTATCTGATTTATGTTGTGTGCATAGTAAGTTGAAGGGGAGATCTTGGAGCAACGATAAGTTGTATTTGTCTGACCTATTGGTTATAGGTTCGAACTGTGTAGTATTTGTGTGACCTATAGGTTACAGCTTTGAACTGTGGATATCACATCGCCTTGGGGTTCAACCCTTCCTCAGATCTTGTGACCTATAGGCTACATGTTCGAGTTGTACAATCAGTCACCATTGCTTGCATTAAAATAGACTGTTGACATTACATTTCTTTGTGTTTTGAGCCTTCCTCAAATCCTGTAACCGTTCTAGTCATTGAATCAGTCACTGATACTTGTGTTAGAGTAAGTTGTTAACATCGCATCCCATTGTGGTCCAATCCTTTTGTGTGAACGTGAGATATTTCGTGCACTGCATTTTTCAGTTTCTAGTTTTGCAATGGTGCTCATGTGATATGATGTTCCATGTTACTTTTGTTAGCTGTAAAGTTGAGATCCTTTCTTCCAAGTTAGTTCCTCGTGCACATGAAGAGATTCTTTCTTCAATGTTCAACTTTTAAATGATAACCCCCCACCCCACCCCCACCCCCACCCCCACCCCCACTTCACCACACACACACAAAATCACTTTTCAAAGATTTGCACTTTGCCATCAATATTCTTAAAAGATGTGACGTGATTCACGAAAATTCAATAATTTTTTTCTTCTCAAATTAAACTGTTTACTAAATATTTGAAATTTATAAGCTTTAAATTGTGACTCGATTTTTCCTTGTTTCACAACAAAGTTCCAAAATTAGTGGTTTTCTATTGATTTCCTAAAGTGAAGCAATGATCACTACAAGTTGAGAAAAATCATAACTTTATCTGAAATATTCCCATCATATTAGGGTCCTATTAGAATATACCTAACTTTAAGAAATATGCTTGAATTACCAATGCACTTGGACTTGACTCATTTTTTTATGTATTTTTTTTTTAAAATTGAAAAAAAAATATGATAATGTATTTAAAGTGAATGAAAAGGACTGTTTTGGTTTTTAGTTTGGTGTATGCAAATAACATTCTAGCAATTTAGATATATTTAAAGAACTTTCTTAATCTATAGGATCCATTCAAATCAATGGCGGAATCAAATAGGGTTAAGGAGTTTATTTGGAAAATTACACTATTTATACGTGATTAAAACTGTTGTATGTATATATAATAGATGTTGAGCCCATTACAGTTTCTTCGTGTATTTACTTTTCATATTTTGAACCCCATATTAAAATTTTTGACTTGCCTCTGATTCGAGCTCGTAAGAAATACTCTTTTCCCTTGCTTGTAGAAGTTTCGAACTCCAACACATTGTGTTTTCTTATTTTTTCTAGTGTTTTAGCTATGAATATTTTTTATTTAGTTTTATTTTTGCATTAAAAATAATTATTTTTTATATGCACACGTGGCAAAGGTTTTGACAAGAATTATTCTCACATTAACTATTCATTAAGCCCATTAAGTTCATAAATTTTGGATTGGGCCTATTTTCTTGAAGTGTCCACTGGACTTTGAATGGTCTCTTAAATCCATTGTTCATTAGGTTACACATGATGATTTACAAGAATGACCTTAGAAGTGGACAGTCTTGAACTTTCGACCCCGCTTGTTTCATGGATAAAATTTAAGTTTAACAAATTTTAACGTTTGGCCTTTTTTGCTCATGGGTCAAGCGGGGGCCAAAAAGTCCAACACCGTTAATTTTCGAGGTCATTGGGTGTAATTTCCTAGTTGTATCCATATTTCATTTTGGTTATACACATGAGCATTTAAGCTATGTCTTAATTTTATAGTTTATTTTTTGCATGTTTACTCTCTTTCGAACAACTTCAAATGTTCTGAAGTTTCATATGATTGATGATGAGACATTTTCGTCTAAAGTTTACTTAAATTTAACAATTTTTGCCCTACTTCAATCGTTTATGTTTGTACTTACTTTTGACTAACATCGATCCTATGTTATTCAAATAAGGTACCCCGTGAAATTTTTATGCCATAACTAGGAAGATAATTGTTCCATTATTTTTATTTTTTTTAATAATAAGATGCAAAAGCTCTTTCAAATTTGCATCATATTGGGCCAAATCAGTTCAGATTGTAGCCCACTAGCCCACCTCGTTGATTCTTAGTGGGCTGATTTTAATCAAACAGCTAGTTGTTAAGCCCAATCATTTTGCCAATATTTCCTATGTCTGGTAGAATGATCGAGGTACGTGTAAGTTGGCTCAAACATTACTGTTACAAAAGGTAATTAAAAAGTACAATGCCACAAGAAATGTTTAGTCTTAAATTAGCTAAAGGATTTATATATCTCTTGTACTGATTCTAAGTCAATCATAAGCATTAGTTACATGTAGTCTAACATAAATAAATGACATCTCAATGCACGAAGCATTTCACGTTTGTGTAGATCTCTAAGGACCACACTCCCAAAAGGTGTAATGCAAATAGTTTACCCTAACGCAAACAAACATCATTGGCTCCACGGCTCGAACCTTATGACTTAGTAATACTGAAACAACTTTACCGAAGCTTCAAGATGATACTATATTTACAAGAAGATGGCACCTAACTACAAACAGGACACTTGATCAATCCATTTTCGTTACATTTTGGACATCGAATTCGATATCCATTAGTATCTTTACCTTGATCTTGATCTATGATCTTGCAACATCCATGACAACTCAAACACAAAACAAATCTAATCCCACAACAACCATTACATGGAAAATTTGAAGAAATTAAAGGAATGTCATGTAATAGTTTCTTTAAAATCCCTTGTTCATGAAGTCCAACAACTTCATTAGCTCTACCAATGTCTCTACCTTTAATAAACAATCTTGGAGGGACAATTCTTCCTCCAAGAATCCTCCACAACTCCTCTCTATACTCGATGTGTATGGATACATCTCGTTCATAGTAGACAACACGAAAGCTTTCTAGTAGGAATCGAATCATGTTGCAATCCTCAAACGTCTTCCTTATCCCTCTTAGGCTTGTTGTGTAGAGAATGATCGCGTCTTTTCCTCCTGGTGGACACTTGTATTCGAAATCACACAAGAGTTTGTTTTCCTCCATAGTGTTTGATTCTTGAAAAAAATGATGAGTTTCATATTCACATGTAGTCTCTTGATGATCAACATCATTTGCAAGATCATTAAAGCTAATGTTTTGACAAAACATCTCATTGTCATGTTGTGTGTTTGTTGTTAGTTGACTTTGGAGATGTTTGGTTGGATGATTTACTTGGAAAACTAATGTTGGAAGGGATTTGATTTTCCTTAGAATTCCTCCATTGATGTTTTTCATCTCCTCTTTTCCTTTCTTTGTTTGTTTCTACAAAGAAAAGAGTTGAGTAACACTTTTGTCTACAACCAAAATTTGAAGGTATTAATGAAAGGGGGGTTGATAGGGACTTTGAAAAAGCAATGTACAAAAAAGGCTATTTGTTACTAACTTTTTGAACCTTTTAATGATGATAACTAAATTGACAAACATATGTAAGAAAAAAAAAAGAACATGTTCAAAAGTTGGTTTAAATTGACCACATCCATATGCCAAGGACTTATTAGTAATTTTACCAAGTACAAATGGCTGAGGTGGACCTCTATGGTTGGTTTATGTGTAGATAATTTTACCATGAAGATCGGGACAATTCATCTGAATCAAGTGTTTTTGAAGTGGAAGGTAATATATATGTGAAAATTTACTACCATTTCAACAAATTAGTACTAGATCTAAGCTCACAATTTTCAAGATTCAATGAGTATAGCGTCAAGAACCTTAGATGTCAAACGTAAAGTCCTGAAATCACATCCATATGGGGAGGACCTTTCAGTAATTTCACCCGCGTACAATGTCTAACGTGGACCTTTATGATTGGTTTAAACCAAGGAAAGATGTAAAGTATAACTAACTAACTATAACGTTCATCCAAATCCACTATCTTTAGTTCTGACCTTATATATGTGTTAACAAGTTCATTAAATAAGTAAATACTTGATTCAGAACCAAGTTAACCAAACTATCTTAGCATCCAAAACTTTAACTCATGTAATTCAAATCCTGAACTCATTAACTCAAGCATTTTGATGATTTCACCATGAAAAATGGGCGCAAATCTAATTCTTCAACGGCATGTCTATCTGAACTCAATATATTTTTGAAGCTAAGCATAGTATATACATGCGAAAATCCACTAAAAATTATGTTGGATCTTCACCCATGATTCTTAAGTTATAATAAATTGAATGCTAAGAAACTTAAAGATTGGATTGATCATTATGTTAAAATTCTGAATCCGCCGCATGACAGACAAAGTAGAAGGTGTCAATGGGACCAAATTGGGTATAGGGGACAAGGTGTGCCACAAGCAATAATACAATCACAAGGGATGCAAAGCAATTTCTTTTTATCAGTTAGAAAGTTTGGAGGATATAAAACAATAATAGTGACTCAAACATCTTTTTGCTTGTTGAGCATGGCCTGTTCTCAATAAGTCAAAAAGCCATAATGCTAAACCCCTTATATGATGTTGATTTGACAAGTTAACTAGAAGCATAATCAATAGTTTCTTTTGGATATATTCTTCTCTTCTCATAAAGAAAACTAATTTATAGTGGGGGCACTTTAGTCTCAAAAACTACACAACCCCCCTCCAAACAAGCATCCAGTGGAATCTAGGTATCCACGACGTTGGAGTGATAAGAGCACAACACGTGATGTTTCAATAAGGGGAAAACACATCAATGATTCAAACTTTGGCGTGTGTTCTATGGCTTTCCACATGGTGTCAGGTAACCCACATTAGGACCTTGACTAGTTGGGATTTGCACCACATAAGATAACTTAACAGAGTTTTGTTTTTTCATACATAAGACTCGAACTCGAGACCTCTGGTAAATGGAGGAGAGATCCTATCCATCCAGAAGCCTCTTATTCAGACTCTTAATAGTGCCACATAACCTCAAGGATGCAACATAAAACACTTCCTTCAGGCTTATTAGCAAAAGATAAGCAGTATCACTTGGGGACAAAGAAACACAGTTCTCTTGAGTTTCTGAGTAAACCAGTACTAATTAAGAGGTACAAGAAAAAGCCACAGAACACATAATACTTCACAAAATACAAGTACTACACATTAAGCAGAAACAGTTCTGGAGAACAGAACCATTATTTGTCACTAGGTTCTCGGACCACCTAGCTAGATGCTGATAAGGCCTGCGATTCGTCAAACAAACTGATGCTGAAGCTAAAAGTTATGCATGACAGTTGCTTATTCTTTTCATCCATCATCTTCATTGTCAGAGTGTATGATCCCTGAATTTTAAAAATAAAACATTTCAGTATGCTTAATGTTCGAGACTGAGGCGTAGTTGTTGTATGGTTAAAGGCAGCAGTGGAAGCTTTTCTTCCAATTTAAACAGGGAACACCAAACATAGACAACTAATCATGATACATAAATCAGAATCTGAACAATCAATAAATATGAAGTAGATGCAATTGGAAAAGGCATCTTCATACAATATATTGGATGGTTTTTATCAACAAAAAAAATAAGTATTGCACTGGCTTGAATGTGGTTTAATTTCTAGAAGGCTTCCTGCTGAAAACGATGAAGGGCAATAACAGAAGCAAAAAGGCAACAAAATCTACAAAAATGGCAAGCAAAATGACAACAAATCTAAAGGCTGTATTCCCTGTATTCCTCAAACTAGCTTTTTTTTTTCTTTTGAGATAACTTTACTCCCCGAGGACCATAGCGCACGATTCTTAACTTTTGGTGGATAATGCCCCCCCTGATGGGTGTGGCCTCGTGGCCAACGAAGTGGGTTGAGAACCATGAAGTCTCAGATTCAGAGAATCTCTCAACAGAGACAAAAACCACTAGGTGATTTCTTCCTCTCTGTCCTGGCCTTAGTGGACAGAGTTACCTGGTACATATTGGAGGGAGGTGGCAGGTGGCAGGTATCCCATCGGATTAATTGAGGTGCATAAAAGTTGGCCCCGACACCAAGGTAATTAAAAAAAAATGCCCACCCTGCCCTTCAACCTTTCTCCACTTAAATACCAAGATTTTGCTCGTCGCAAGGTCAAAACTATGACGTAGACCCAACTCACATCCTCTGCTGCACTGTTTCCACAACACCAAAGCCCCAGGGCCCCATAGCTTTACATTATACCAGAACTAGACCCCACTTCTTTCCCAAAGACGCACAGAGGATTAGGGTCTGAAGACTTGTAAGAACTAAGCAGCTCAAGAAATGGATAGATGATTATGTTGTTTTAAAATTTTTATGTAGAACGAAATTAGCAAGGGATTATAACAAGGATAGATCAAAATTGAATCAGAAAGTTGACTCACAGGTGGAGTAAATCCAGGCAACTCTTGTGAGTGGGAAATGACGAAATCACCGGATGCTGGGCAAGATGTCTCTTTACAAAGATCGATGGTCTCTTGGTGGACATGAAAGAACAAATAGTTGACATCAATCACCAGCTTTCCTCCAGTGAGATTCTTACCTGCAAGGACAATTAATACTTCTAGTCAACAAATACTTTCTACCATATTTTTAAACTTCCATTTTCCTGTCCAGAAAGGGCACAGAAAAAATAGTATACTATGTCGGGGCCCATTGGTCATATGAAAACAAAAGCTACTTCTAAAGGAATTGCAGAGACATTTACTCCACGAAAATGAAAAAATTCATAAATGGTCACTGATGCCCGTGCCTCAAGCAAGATCCTTAGATATAATGAACAAACCATAGGCTAGACAAAATTTCCCACCAAACAACAGATTGATAACACATAAATGTGATCAGTTCTCATCACAACAATGAGAGTTTTACTGCTTGCTCAAGATAAAAATAGAATATGACAATACTATGCATGGGTGCGAAAATCCAATCAAGAAACAAGCATGCCGTTGCCTTGTACTTTAGTCTTTATAGCACAAGTTTAACTGTCTTAAGACTCTTAGGAGTTGGATTTATGATGGATACATCCTAAGATGGGTTGAACTTCAAAGTGTTACTTTGATAGAGCGAAAATAAGGAGAAATCTATTAATCCGGTTAATCTAGAAAACCTAGAGGTTTTGCGGGAAAACCATAAAAGCCAAAGATATATGAACCAAAATGTTAACTTAAGAAAAAGGAACCTTAAAGTTAACTGAATACTTGCTGAGGTAGTCAAACTGCTTACAAGAAAAAGACTCCTAAAAAAGCTGAGTCCTTAACAAACTGCAACCACTGATTCTTCTCAATCAGCAAATTAAAAATATAAGAGAGCTCCTAAGAAAGCTGAGAAACAAACACCTAGATTGATAAAGTAGTAATGTAACAGCAACAGGGAGTTGCATTATGAAGCTTGGTAAGCTAATAAAAATAAAGAACCAAATGAAAATCAGATTTACTGTGGTATGATCAGCTTACCCTTGGGTTAAAAAACATGTGTCTTCATGTTGTTGATTGGCTGGATCAATAGAAACTCTATCCAAGCCTCTCCACCTTTTCTTTCCCTTTTTTTATTTTTTCTACGCCTACTGAAGTTTCTTTTACATGCAACTCCCTAAGCACTGATTACATTCGGAGAACACTTCTGCTGCCTAGAGAATCCAATCAACCCCAGTATATTGGCTAAATGCGAGGATTGTGTTCTTTTTTCCCTCTCATTCTTCACAGAAAACTAGGATTAAATCCAAAACTTCTTTATCTTTCTCGTACAGTGTTTAATTTTTGGAAATTCTCAGTTATAGCCTGTTTAACCAAGCTTCAAAAGACTGTTTATTTTGGGAAGTGCAAGTGTTTATTTTGGAGAAGTACTGTTGGAGAGTAACAATATGTGTATGGCTATAATTAATTTAAAAGCATTTTGGCAAACATTAGAGTATCAATTTGGGCTTTGCTAAAGCCCTTTTCCCCCTAAAAGCTTGGACAAACACCACGACACTCTAAAATTAAGAACTTAAAAGAAACTCTTTCAGCTATCCAAAAGCTAGGCCAAACAGCCTATTAGTCATCCATTGTATAATCGTCAAAATCCTACAAAAATAACTTTCTTCAAGACTATTTACTATTATGCCAAAAGTTCCAAAAGAATTATCTGGATCATATTCACAAATTTTTCGTTCTTGCTCATAAACTAGTGTATTCTTTGCTCTTCGAAGGAGCTTTGATTATGAATTCCCACAACCTCGCTGGAGATGTCTTTAGCCCTATGGTGACTTGATAAAGGGAGCACGAGGAAGGGATTTCATCTCAAATCAATTTCAAGGCCTATGTTCAGTAAGAGGGAAAATAACATGTTGAGTGCTATAGACAAGTGTACTCCACGTAAGTTCTTCTCCAGGAATATCATGAAATTGTGTTCCCTACTTTTATTGCCTTCTCGGCTTCTCCAATTTTAAGTATATAAAATACAATAATCTCAACCAAACTAGGCATGACACCACTCCATTCCACACAAACACAAACACCCTATTGTAAGCAAGACATTCCAATCATTAAACATATGATTAACCAATAAAACCGGCATAATTTTGGACCTATAATTCTAACGATTTTTAATGATAAGAACTTAAATATCGAACTGGTCAAATCTTTAGCTTTATCTTTCTCGTACAGTGTTTTCTCATGTTATACCCTGTTTAACCAAGCTTCAAAAGACTGTTTATTTTGGGAAGTGCTTATTGTCAGAAGTTTTTATTTTGGAGAAGTACTGTTGGAGAGTAACAATTTGTGTATGGCTATAATTAATTTAAAAGCATTTTAGCCAATATTAGGGCATCAATTTGGGCTTAGCTAAAGCCCTTTTTCCCCTAAAAGCTTGGACAAACACTAAAATAAGAACTTAAAAGAAACACTTTCAGCTTCCCAAAAGCTTGGCCAAACAGCCTATTAGTCATCCAATGTATAATCGTCAAAATCCTACAAAACTAACTTTCTTCAAGACTAATTACGATTATGCCAAAAGTTTCAAAAGAATTATCTCGATAATATTCACAAAATTTTCATCCTTGCTCATAAACTAGTGAATTCTTTGCTCGAAGGAGCTTTGATTATGAATTCCCCACAACCTCACTGGAGATGTCTTTAGCTCTATGGTGACTTGATAAAGGGAGCACAAGGAGGGATTTCATCTCAAATCAATTTCAAGGCCTATGTTCAGTAAGAGGGAAGACAACATGTTGAGGACAAGGTACTCCACGTAAGTTCTTCTCCAGGAATATCATGAAATTGTGTTCCCTACTTTTATTACCTTCTCCAATTTTAAGTATATACAATACAATAATCTCAACCAAGCTAGGCATGACACCACTCAATTTCACACAAGCACAAATGCCCAATTGTAAGCAAGACATTCCAATCATTCAACACATTATATGAGATTAACCAATAAAACCGGCATATTATTTATAAGCAAGTGAACTAGTTTATCAAATTAAGTACTCAATCATCAAAGTTCACTAAAATCAACCTATTGTGTTTACGTGAATATAATAAAGGAGAAAATAAGGAAGAGATATGCATGTCATTCATTACCTGTGTCTGCAATAATACTGAATGTTGTTGTTCTACCTCCCTTAACAGGATAGGGTGTTATATTTATTTGACTGACCTTAACATCATAATTGGCCTTTTTATCTGCAAACCCAAAAAGCAATTCCATCAGCTGGCATATCATCAGATATATCTATAATAAACTTCCCTCAATGTTCCCCAAAAGAAATTTTTTCGCTCAATACCGTAGTAGAAGAAACGCTATAATGCTCAATTTCAGTGGAAAAGTTGTCTTCTAAATACAAAGATACCATATTTAACTATCAAAACTAATTTCATACTCCTCCCCAGAGTTGGTGTTCTTTTTGCTTCACGAGAGTAAAAAAATACCACTCTTATAGCACAGAATGATTTTTGTGATCATTTAGAAGTATGAAAAAAAATCACTACCACTTATAGCACTTTCTTCAGGAAGTACAACTTATAGCTTATCATGTATAGTATGTAAATATCTAACAAATTATATTTCCAAAAACAGAATGAATTTATAGCAAAAAAACTTGTACAAGCTTCCAACATCAGCAAAGGAGATAATTTCAACACGGTACAAGAACAATTTCAGAGAAAAATCATCAGCTGCAACAGAAACAAACACAATAAATCACCAAAAATCAGATAGCACAAAATACTAAAAGAAAAAACCCAAAATGGGTATCTACCAAACAGATTCATTCAACAAACAATCAAGAACGAAAAACGACCAAAAAAGTGATAATGGTCAAAAACACACTAAATATAACTTTTTCGCAAGTTTTACATGATAACTGTTCCCTTTTTCTACTTGAAATACAACCATGTATGTAACAAAACACACCTACTTGAGTAGACGGTGATAGTCTAGGCACAAAAAGGAAACAACTGATAATTGGCCTAATCAGCTTCGCTTCGAGGGGTGATAGTTCAGGTATAAAAAAGAAAACAACTCACAGTCGGGGCCTAAAACTGGTGATAAAGTGATAGTTCATATGTGTTTTTTGACCATTTGACTCTAAAAAAAAAACTAAACTTGTGCAAGCTTCCAACCTTAGCAAAGGAGATAATTTCGAGACGATACAAACACAATATCATAAAAAAACAGTCAGCTGAAACAGACACAAACACAACAAATCACCAAAAAATCAGAGAACACAAAATACTAAAAGTACAAAAAAAAAAAAGGGAAAAAAATCACTAAAATTCAAAAACCCAAAATGGGTATCTACTAAACAGATAATCAAACAAAATCTGCATCAAAACCCAGCAAATTTCGGTTCGCATACTGTAAAGTCAACGAACCAATGGCAAAAAAAAAAAAAAACACAGCAATACTCGAAAAAATCACTAAAATTCTAAACCCCATATTGGTATCTACCAAACAGATAATCAAACAAAAAGGATCCAACAAAATCTGCATCAAAACCCCAAAAATAAACAAATTTCGGTTCGCATACTGTAGAGTCAAACAAAAAAAAAACTCACTGCAATACTCGAAAAAATCACTAAAATTCAAAAAACCCAAATGGGTATCTACCAAACAGATTCAACAAACAATCAAACAAAGCAATCCAACAAAATCTGCATTAAAACCCCAAAAAATCAAACAAATTTTGCATCGCATACTGTAAAGTAAAAAAAAAAAAAAACTCACTGCAATACTGGAAATCGGTGGATTCAGCTGAAGTGAGTGGAGAGACAAGACATAGTAAGAAGATAAGAGTGACGAAGAGTTTCATAGCTGCCATTGCCATTGATTGAAGCAAAGCACAAAAAACGGAAGAGATAATGAAGGAAACAGTTAAAAAAAACAAAAACACAAGTCTTCTACTATTTATTACTGGACTTCCAATTATCATTCTAAAATATTACGGACTCGATATTTATATCAAATCAATAAATTTATCAAAATCTATATTTTCTTCGTTTATTTTTTATATGTTTATCATTTATAATTTATTAAGTAGGTTTTAATCGTTTTTAACATATCAAGAAAAGGAATCGTAGTAGCTGAGTGTTTATATGAACTTTTACCTTATTGATAAGAACTAGATTCTTCATCTTTTAACGCTATAAGTTAATTAATATGAATATTATAATTTTTATTAAGAAACGTACAAAATTTAAAATGAACAAGTAAGAGTGAATGAATAGAGTATTTACTTATATGTAATGAATGTCGTTTAGTATGTGGAATAATTTTATTTCATGTTTAATTTAACGTGTCAACTGATTTTGAAATTATTTTATCCACTATTTATACTAAAATATTAATATTTCATTTTAAAAAAAGAGATAAAATACTTTGACATGATAATAAATAAACATTTAAATTTGACTTTATTTGACGACTAAACTCACTAATTCATCCTCGTTATTTTTCAAGAACACTCAATATTGATATAACACATAAATTTTGAAGTCTTTTAAGTAAGTCGGAGTACTATTTAATTGACACAATAAAATGAATTAAGGTATTTAGATACGCATATTCAAAATCAAAATGATTATTTATCAATTAAAGCTAAATTCTATATCAATCGTCTTTGTTAATCTCATTCCGTTAATCAAACAATCCTTATTAGTAATATCACGATGATTTGATATAAATATCGAATATGGATAAAATATTACTGGGGTGCTAGAGCAGACCAGAGAGGACTGTTTGGTGAGCAACGGGTGTGTATCAATATAACACCCAAAAAAATAGGGAAAATGAATATTATTTTCTTAGCTAGGTTGTATTACTAACTTTATAATAACCTATTTGTTTTATTGTTAGGTTAAATTAAATAGTTTTTGCTTTCGATATAATTTTATTCAAATGTGACTCAAAATTGATGTTAAGATTAATTATTTCAAGAGAATGAAATAATAAAATGAAGATGTTAATAGTAGAATTGAAGTAATATAGTAAAATTCGTAGTGTTTAATTTAACATATTAACTTAATTTGATATTATTTTATCTCACTATATAAAATTATCATTTCATATAAAAAGTGAAGAAAATAGTCTTGACATAATACATATACATATACTCAAATTTGATTTTAATTAATAACTAAACATCTCAACTTATTTTTATTATGTCTCATGAATACACGACTTTAATGTGACACGTATATTTTAGAGGTGTTTAAATAATTACTTTATAAGTTAAAATATTCAACAGACGCATTGAAGATAATTCGAAAGTCCGATATACCTTCCTAAAATTAGAGTGATTACTTCAAGATTTAAATGTATATTTATCTATTATATTATTTCATCCCGCTAAACAATTTCTATTAATAATATTATGATTTGATATAAATATCGAATACCAACAAAATTTTATTGAAATGTGTGACATTTGAACTGCTAATTAGGAAGCAGAGAGCAGACATAGAGGACTGTTAGGTGAGCAACGTGTATATGTAATTCAATAACATCCAACAAAATAGGGAAAAAAACAAAAGAGAAAATCACGATTCGATTTCGCGAAAGAGAAAATCACAGAGTAATTTGGAAGAGAAAATTGAAAAGTACGACGACGAAGAAGAAGAAGATTCTGTGAAGACGATGAATTGCCTTCTATCTACATTATACATGGAAAAAGAAAAAATACCAAAAGTTCCGCGTTCGAGTCCTAAGAATGGTAATCACCTTTGATAGGAGGGATTTTTCGGCTCCAATTCAGATAAAATCCACAAAATAGCTACTTTTCAGTCCTTATAATTGAAAACTAGTTATTATTATAAAATTTCAAACTCCACTAGTGAAACTCGATAATAATGTCCTAAAGTTTCACTCGTGAACTTGAAACCACATGACATTAACTATTTTTCAAAAGCAAGGCCGAATAGTGACAAGCAAATGTTATTTCACCCCAAATCCAGACTAATCAAGCTCAAAAGTGAATACAAGACCTTGAAATCGTCGAATTTTCCTAGAGTTTCACATGTGAACTTGAAACCCCATGACATTAACTATATTTTGAAAACAAGTCAAAAAGTGGTTAGTAAACGCTATTTCACCTCAAATCCAGATTAATCGAGCCCAAAAGCAGATAACATTGAATTTGAATAGCACTTTATCCAATAGGTCTAGTTGCCAAAGGAACAACTTCAGCTAGAGGAGTAGATAGTGGTGATTGCAATGGAGAAGTTCTACAAATAGGACAAGTTGGATGTAACCTCAACCATGGATCAACACATTTCAAGTGAAACAAATGGCCACAATCTGGCAATTGCCTTAACATGTCACTATTCTTGTAATCACCTAAACATATTGAACAACAAGAACTCACGGTTGAATCCTTGTGAATATTCTTATAAGTATCTGAATACAACAACTTTGGAAAACTCGATAGGGTTTCCTCATCAAGCCCTACGTCCACATCCACGTCCACGACCACAACCACATCGTTATTATTATTAGTATTATTCCTATGTCTCCTTTGTGGTGGCTCCACCGTTGTTTGATGCCTCGTACAAAAATAGGACGTTAGGGTGATTGTTGTTATCAATAACAATATCCCTGCAGAGACTCCGATACCATATGCGAATCCACCAAAGTTTTGTGACCCGAGGAACCCGTCATCGGAGGAATTCGGATCCGGGGCGGAAGCTGTGGCATTCATGATGATCTTGAGGGTGTTGTTGTGTTTGTTGTTTTGGTTTTGGTTTTGGTCATGATGTTTTTAGAACAAAGAGAAATGGTCTAAAAGAGTTTGAAAGTCAACTATTTACATATTTTGTGATAATAAAAGGGAAGTTTGATTGGGGAGGGTATATTTGGACTTCAACTAATAATGAACTTTAAAAGTTATGTCAATGATGAAAAGATATATATAAAGCAAAAAAGTAAAGTGTATTTGAAGAGGCTTCTTGTGAATATATATAGTGTATTTTTGGTAAGCTGTCATTTCTCATTTGATATTCAATATTCGATATTTGCTTTGAGATTTGACTAATTTAAATTTACATCAGAGAATTTTATCGTCTAAGACGCTCAATGGCTAAGTCAGAAATTTCACTAAAAATGTTTAAGATTTAATATTTATAGACAAAAAGTAGTATTTAACTTACGTAACAATATGATTTTTCGAATGTCAAACTAATCATCCTTCGCTAGTTGTAGCTTCACCATGAAGTGCTCCCTACTACCAAAGGTGGAGGCGGAATTCAAATATAAGGGGCTACTGAATTATAGGATAGCGTCATCAAATTTTAATGATTGAATTCTGAATTTAATTTTTGTACTTATTTAATGAATTTCTAAATACAAATTTAGAATTTTGACTAGGCCACAGGTTGAACCCATAGGTAATCTTCCAATAAGATGACTTTATTTTTTAAATTCGTATCTCGAGATTTCTGATTAAAGATAGGAGAGTATTTATATATTGTTTTCTAATAAGTAGTTCATTTCATGTTAGGGGTGTTAGGTTTGAGATGTCAACGGTTAGCCCATCTTTTTCTTCAATGTTTTGATTCATGTGAGTAACGTCTTTCTTTCTAGCTAGCTAGAAAATTATTCAACTTTATCCACTCATATATTATCAGTATTTTTATGAATATATTAAATTATATTATTGTTTTCCTCTATTATTCCCCACCCCTACTTTAGGTTTGACTAATCTGAATTTTCGAGGGTATATTAAATTTACATGATATTCCCTATTTTGGGAATGTCCAGTGCCAAAGTCATTGAATATGTAAGTCGTTAATTCTGGATTAAATAATTAATGTACTTTGTTTGCTGAGTTATGGGCGAACTATTTTAAAGAAGACTCCTCATTCATTACATAGAGAAGATCACCAAGATTTCGCGATCCGTTATCGAATTTATTCTAATTCCAAGAGCTCGGATTGGATTGATATATTTAAAATAAAGTTCAATGACTCTATATGTAAAACTCCAATATGATATCTTCGATATCTCATTATAATACAAATTGATTTTATTTGGTTCATGAGATTCATTTAAAAAGACGTAATTAAGTATGTAGATATATGTAATTAAAAATATTTTTTCTTTAATAGCTCGAGTGTTTAAATGAAATAAGCAATTTATGATGTGGAAATGTGAAAGTTGCTACACATTTTATTTTACACGTTTGATCCCCTTCCTAATTCTAAACAGTTTTTTTACTCAAACATTTTGTTTTCAATAAGACCATTTCTGTATAGATTTTTTAAAAAAAATTAAATTCTAAACATAAATGGTCCTATTGACAACAAAATATTGACTAAAAAATTGTCTAAGAATAACTCAGTATGACTTTGAAGACTTGGTTTTGATGTCCACATCAATCATGCAATAAATTGTTAAGAATTCAAACTTTTAATCTAACTACTCTAATGGTTGAATAGTTGCACCATTAACTAATTATAGAGTATTCATCAATCAGAATTGTGATGAGATATTTGAATTTGCTTCATTTTTATTCAAAGATTTCGATTGAGATCGCTGAGAAAGAAAAAAGTCATGTTAAGTGCAATTTCCTAAAAAATGAGTCATGCAATAATTCTTAAAGCAATGATAAAGTTATTTTTATGGAAAATAATGATACATATAATTATCTCCGTGTAATTTAGAAGTTACTGATTCTAATCATGAAAACAATCGATAGTACTTATATTAAGATAGCATGCTCTTATTCGAACCTTACTAACACGGTTTGCTTTGTGTACCTGTTTGCCATTCCCATTTTGAAAATTTTACAAATGCTTATTTCAACTTATTTGTATGCTTGTTATGTATTGTGTATTGTATAGTTTAAATATAATATTTGTCACTTAAATCTTAGGGGTCGTTTGGTAGAGTGTATAAGAATAATGCTGAATATGATGTATTAGTAATGCATGCATTAGTAATGCTTGCATTAGCTATGCTTGCATTATTTCTTATACATTGTTTGGTTTGATGTATTGGAAATAGCAAGCCTTGTATAAAGACTATTAAAAAAATATTTGTTTACAAAAATACCCCCACATTCTTTTACAAAAATAATAATAATTATTATTATAATAATAATAATTATAATTATAATAATAATTATAATTATTATTATAATTATTATTAATAGAGGGTAGTTTTGTCATTAGTTAATCTAATGCATGCATTAAAACCATTGCATTGCTAATACCTAGAAATCCATGGTATTAACAATACACACTTTAATACACAATAGAGTGTATAACTAATGCAAGCATTAGTTATACATAGGTTGGAAAAGAGTACCAAACAAGGTACTAGTAATACACAGTGCTAATGCATGCGTTATTTTTCCTAATACACTCTACCAAACGACCCCTTATTGTATTGTATCCTTAAATTCATAGTTTATGAACAATGAAAAGTCTCATTCTATATAATAATCTATTTGATGTAATTCCATCACTACCTTATATTTACTTTTCATTTTATTTTATTTATTATTTAATCATCCTATTTTATCGTTTTATAGCTACTCTATACCAAATTCAATTTTTTAAAATTTATCATTCAAATTATTTATATATGCGGTTACATAATGATGAAAAACTATACAATATATATTCAAATGGTATATTTAATAAATTCAAATGTTATACTCTCAATTTCAGCACAAAACTCTAAGACCGTTGTATTCCGCCCTAAAATGCATATTTTGTATAAGAGATAATGCTTAAAAACACATTTAAAGTATGAATTGATTGCGAGTTTTCATTCCTAGCTAACCTATATCTAAGGATGCGTGGTGTGCACTCTCTTTTTCCATTTAGAAATGGTGTCAAATGACACTCTTAAGGGGATAATTATAGAAATTAAATGGATTTTTTAAATTATTGAGTTAGGTTTCACGTGGATGAAATTTTATGGGCAAATACGTTATCTCGTACTTTTTGACGATTGCATTCAAACACCTGATCTAGTTATATGGACAAAATATGTTAATCAAAAGGAAGGTGTTAAGCACCTTTCGAGTCTCGTGTTCTAACATGATTGTTATGAATAACTATTTAAATGAAAACTTATACTATGTTTCCTTGACATCCCAAAATTTTGTCCAAAAACGACCTCCGTTTTGGCATTGATACTTTGGGACACGAAAAAAAGATACATTTATTTAAAATGAGTAAACAAATAAAAGAAATTGCCTTCCCGCCCTAATCATAATGCTAAAGGTCTTTTAACAAATAAATAAAAGTGATTATAATAGCTCTATAAAAAAACTATATTGTAAAAATAAAATATCAAAAAACGAATATTTGAGTATCACCCACTCTAATACTATTTTAAATCTCATCATAAATTTCCAACTCCGTCACTCCTAACAATAAACTTAACCATTCCTTATGAGAATTCGTAACTGAAATCTCTGTTTGCTGGTTTTCTGAAGATCCCGCCATTGATTTCCAGTTTTCGAAGATCAAATCAAAATTCCAGTTCGTAATCACATCTTCGATATTCGAAATCTCATCTTCAACAAGCTTCTCTTCTTCTTCCGCAGAAACAAAATTTCTTTTCGAAATCACAACTTCTTCTTCTTCTTCATCGTACTTTTTCTTCTTTTCTATTTTCTCTCCAAAGCTAATCAGTGATTTTCTCTTTCGCGAGATCGAATCGTGATTTTCTGGTGATTGTTGAAGATCCATTGTTGGTTGATTTTGAAGAAGAAGGGGAAAAACAGAGCATAAGGAGAATTAATTTGTTTCAGGTACCTTTTTATAGAAATTAAATTATAGGTTTTTTTTCGTTTCCTATATTGAATCGGAGAATTCCATTTCCGATTCCGATTCATATTATCTACTTGCAATATTAGGGGCTCTCAATTTTATCGGAAAGCTTTAAGTTCGAACTTTAAATAAATATCTTTTTAAGTTAACTATAACACTTGACTAACATTTCCGAATCTAATTTAACCGTTTCAGACTCGACTATGAAGTTTCAAGAAGTTTCAAGCAATACAAGTTTGAAGTTGTGCTTGCCAAAGCCCGACTTCAAATTTGCATAAGTTCGAACTTTAGATAAATATCTTTTTAAGTTAACTATAACACTTGACTAACATTTCCGAATCTAATTTAACCGTTTCAGAATCAACTTCAGACTCGACTATGAAGTTTCAAGAAGTTTCAAGCAATACAAGTTTGAAGTTGTGCTTGCCAAAGCCCGAAATCAAATTTGCATAACTTCGAACTTTAGATAAATATCTTTTTAAGTTAAACTATAACACTTGACTAACATTTCCGAATCTAATTTAACCGTTTCAGACTCAACTTTAGACTCGACTATGAAGTTTCAAGAAGTTTCAAGCAATACGAGTTTGAAGTTGTGCTTGCCAAAGAATAACAAATTTGAATAAGTTCGAACTTTAGATAAATATCTTTTTAAGTTAAACTATAACACTTGATTAACATTTCTGAATCTAATTTAACCGTTTTAGAATTAACTTCAGACTCGACTATAAAGTTCCAAAAAGTTTTAAGCAATACAAGTTTGAAGTTGTGCTTGCCAAAGCATACCAAATTTGCATAAGTTCGAACTTTAGATAAATATCTTTTTAAATTAAACTATAACACTTGACTAACATTTCCGAACCTAATTTAATCGTTTCAAAATCAACTTTAGAGTCGACTATGAAGTTCCAAAAAGTTTCAAGCAATACAAGTTTGCAGTTGTGCTTGCCAAATCCCGACTTGAAATTTGCATAAGTTCGAACTTTAGATAAATATATTTTTAAGTTAATAATATATAACACTCGGCTAACATTTCGAACCTAATTTAACCGTTTCAGAATCAACTTCGGACTTTACTTTGAGGTTCCAAAAATTTTCAACCATACATGTGTGAAGTTGTGCTTGCCAAAACCTAACTTCAAATTTGCACAACTTTAGATAAATATTTGCTTTTTGAAGGTAACTTTTAACACTTCACCAACTTTCCCGAACTCTGCTTAATACGAAATGTTTTGTAAAGCTTTAAACAATTATTTCATCTCCATATAAATATGCAGCAACTTTGAATTTTCAGCTCAAACAAATGAGTAAACTCTGTAAAATTAGCTGCAAATTTGAACCAAAATCCATCAAAAATGGTGTAACTCAATCTTGTTTCAGATTCTTCGCAGTGTCATCATCTTTATCATCTTCACATCATCGCTTCGAAGAAGAAAACTATCCTACTATTCACCGCAATAGAAGAACCCAACGTCATTATTTAAGCAAATTATTATTCACATTATCTGCAACCCGTTATAAAGAAATCCACACCCAAGTGATTCTTTGTGGATTTGAAAGCAACCCTTTTCTTAACAACATCTTGATTCAATCGTATTCGATTCGGGGGTGTTTGGACTATGCACGCAAAGTGTTTGATAAAATGCCTAAAAGGGATATGATTTCTTGGTCTTCAGTTATTACTATGTATACCCAAAATGGGGTTTATGATGAATCCTTGTTGCTTTTTGCTGAGTTGAGGAGAAGTTGTAAAGAAGGGGAGGGGCCAAATGAGTTTGTTTTGGCTAGTGTTGTTAGTTGTTGTGGAAGGTTAGGTAGTATTGTGAAAGGTGAGCAATTGCATTGTTTTGTGGTTAAAGCTGGTTTTGATCAGTTTGTGTATGTAGGGACGTCTTTGATTGATTTTTACTCGAAGGGTGGAGATGTAGGGGCAGCGAGGCGAATTTTTGATGGTTTGTTGGTGAAGAGTACGGCTACTTGGACTGCGATTATTGCAGCGTGTGTGAATGTGGGGAAGAGTGAAATTTCCTTACAGCTATTGAGGAATATGTTGGAGATTGATGTTGTTCCTGATAATTATGTGGTTTCGAGTATCTTGGGTGCTTGTTCGTCGCTTGAGTATCTTAAAGGAGGAAAAGAAATTCATGGTTATGTGCTTAGACGCGGAGCGGAGATGGATGTTACGGTGAGTAATGTTCTTATTGATTTCTATATGAAGTGTGGAAAGGTTAAGACTGCAAGGTCAGTTTTTGATCGGATGGAAGTTAAAAACACTATTTCTTGGACAACGATGATCTCTGGATACATGCAGAATTCTTCTGACTGGGAAGCCATAAGCATGTTTAGAGACTTGAACAGTTTGGGTTGGATGCTAGATAGATTTGCTTGCAGTAGTGTACTTATTTCATGTGGGTCGGTTGAAGCTTTAGAGTTGGGAAGACAAGTGCATGCTTATACCGTGAAAGCTAATGTTGATTCTGATGACTTTGTGAAGAATAGCTTGATTGATATGTACGCGAAATGTAATTCATTTGGTGACGCAAGGAAGGTCTTTGACATTATGGGTGATCATGACGTAATCTCTTACAATGCTATAATTGAGGGTTGTTTGATGCAGAATAGGCTATATGAAGCTTTTGATCTATTTGCTGAAATGAGAGATAATCTGATTCTTCCAAGCCTTTTGACTTTTGTTAGCTTGCTCGGTGCATCAGCTTCACTGTTTTCCTTGGAGTTAAGTAAGCAACTTCACGGTCTTACCATAAAATTTGGTTTTTCTGCTGACATGTTTGTTTGTAGCATCCTAATAGATGTTTACTCGAAATCTTCATCTATTGAAGATGCGAGACAAGTATTCATTGAAATGAATGAGAAGGATATTGTTGTATGGAATTCTATGTTGTTTGGGTACATACAACAGTGTGAAAATGAAGAGGCTCTAAAGCTCTTCCTACAATTGCGGCAGTCTTTGCAAAAGCCAAACGCGTTGACTTTTGTTGCTCTCATTGCTGCATCTAGTAACCTAGTAAGTCTGCTTCATGGTCTCCAGTTTCATAACCAGATTGTAAAACTCGGCCTAGATTTTGATCCACATGTTACAAATGCACTCGTCGATATGTACTCCAAGTGTGGAAGCTTGGAAGAAGCACATAAGATGTTTAATTCCACTATCCAGAGAGATATCGCGTGTTGGAATTCTATGATATCCACTTATGCACAGCACGGAGAAGCAAAGGAAGCTCTTAATATGTTTGAGAAAATGATAAATGATGGATTGAAACCCAACAATGTCACCTTTGTTGGAGTGCTTTCAGCATGTAGCCATGTTGGTCTTGTCAAAGAAGGATTGTGTCACTTCTATTCCATGGCCGGGTACGGTATTGAACCAGAAACGGAGCATTATGTTTGCATAGTGTCTCTCTTGGGTCGAGCTGGTAAACTGGTCGAAGCAACGGAATTCATTGAAACAATGCCAATTCCACCGGCCGCCATTGTGTGGAGGAGTTTGCTTAGCGCGTGTAGAGAAGCTGGTCATATAGACCTGGGTAAATATGCAGCATCAATGGCAATATCTATAGATCCAAAAGACAGTGGATCATATATCCTACTTTCAAATATTTATGCATCTAAAGGCATGTGGATCAATGTCAAAAAGTTAAGAGAGAAAATGGATAGCAATGGTGTAGTGAAAGAAAAAGGGTGTAGTTGGATAGAAATAAACAATGAGGTGCATTTGTTTATCGCAAGAGACCGAAGTCATCACCAAACTGATTTGATATATTCATTTTTGGAACTTCTGATTCGGAATATAAAAGGGATCGGATATGTTCCTGAGGATACTACCTTCTCAAATGAGTAAAATCTCTGTCATCTTTGTCATGGTATATGAAGAATCTTTGCTTTGCATCTTCTTACGTTTTTTTTTATTGCAAGTGTTTCCCTATTTCTCTTTTAGTTTAAGTTTTCCCACTGCTTTTCCGTCTGTTGAGTAACATCGATGTCGTATTTGTTTATTCATTTTCTTTAGAACAGTGACCTATAGCATTAGCAGCAGCATCTCTTATCATTCTTCCAGAAATTTAGACTTTGGATTTAAAGATTCTCTCTGTACTTGCTCATTTTCTTATTCATGTTTCAGATATGCTATTAGCAAGAACACTGTGATCCAGGCGGTTGTAGATGACCAAAATGACAAGTAAAAGCAAGACATTATATTAGAGTTCTATTGCTGTCGAAAGGTGAGGCACTTAAGCTGGACCACTTCCAATGTAATCATAAAATCTCATAAATCTTGGTTTTCACTTTTCGATAAATTAAACTCAAGGATAAATACCGTGTACTCATGGCTTCATATGTTCAGCATGTGCTTAAGTATCTCTTATAGATAGCATTTCATAGGCTTGTAACCCTAGCTATATATTTGTGCTCTGATGTATCGGCTATATGAATCCTCACTTTTACATTTAAGCTCATTTCATATCGCTAAACAAAATAAACATTAAAAATAGTTACATATATCTCTAACAAGTAGTATACCCTTCTTTTGTTTGTTTTGTTGATGTGTTATATCACTTTTTAGTTTCTCTCTCTAACTTCTTAGCAATGAAGCTAATGAAGTGTAATCCAGTCTTGCAAACAGCAGCCAGAGTCATTCTAAGATTAACTTCCTGATGCTACAGTTTTGCCTTTAATTCGCCTATATCTCGGAGTTTGAGAAAAAAGAAGTGGAAATATACCTATTGACTAGACTATACTGTACTTTCCATTATGTATGTCTCTGTGTGTGCATATATATGACTGGACATACTTCAAGTAGTCAAATTTTCTTTTCATTTGGCAGGTTTCTTCTTTGGTTTGGCAGTGGAGCTTTATCCAATCAGACCAGGTACAAACCTGAAACTGTGGACCAATATGAACTCTTGCTACAAGGTATCTGCTCTGAATGAAAGATATTCAAGCATAAGGTGTCATACACCAGATGGAATCTTGCCGAATATGGTCGATCGGGAGAGTATTCGTTGCGTGCTGTGGTGCCGCTAATATGTTGGGACATGATGGAGATGCATCAACCCAACAAGGTCCTTACGCAGTTTGGGATGTGTGTCAATTCATACCAGTTGCTTGCAATTTTGTGGATAATCACTACATGCATGATCATCGTGACTGAGAACGTGCAAACCATGTTTGTGATGCCCCACAAACAAATATACCCTTGTGTGTGATGACAACTACCTCAGATAGGATCTTCTGATTACTCGACAGATTATCGGGAATCCTAGATTTCATTTGCCCGAAGGGTATGCATCCTTTGCACCAAGGTGCGAGGTCACTGTTTCTACAATAGTTACACAAAATTATGCTCAATCCAATTCCGAGGTGTCCTTCCAAACAGGTTCTCAATGGAAAGCAAGAATACGAGCGATGGCACTGTAAGTCTTCTTGATCATTTAGTTATGGACATTGTGAACAAAGTCAAATGATTTGTGCTTGTGTGGCTGCATAGTTATAGACTTATAGTATAGTAAGATGTGGCAATTGCGATATCCATTGAGCTATTAGTGATTGATTGATTAGCTAGAAGTAGTACTGGATGATGAATTCATAAGGCTATTTCCTGTTTGGTTGCTAATATCTTAATCCAAAAACTCCGGATAAACTAGTTTGACCAGCTTATAAGCTTAGCCAAACAACTTCATAAAGTGAAACTTTTAGCCTTATTTAAGAGGAAAGCCACATGAAAAACCAGGACCATAGAAGTAGTAATTGTACCAACAAGGGTTGTTAGGAAGCGCTTTTCTCGTGGGACTTTTCGGCGCGAATCCGAATTTAGTCGGGCTCCAATGTGGGTACTGGACACCGCGTGGGAAACCGAAAAAAATAATTGTAATTGCATTCAGTATCCAATTTTCACCTATACCCAACAACAACAATACACCTAGTGTAATCCCACTAGGTGAGGTCTAGGGTATGGGAGAGGGTACGGTGTTTGCAAACTTTACTCCTAGTGTGAAGGTAGAGTGGTTTTGTTTCAAAATACCCTCAGCTCAAGTAACTCATAACAAAGCAATGTTAAAAATAACATACAGACGCTAAGCAGACATAGCAAATAATAACAAAATCATAACATAGCAATCAAAAAAAGGCACACTAACAACATCTCAAAACAATGCGATAACTGAAGCAAAGAACAACAGATATTACCAGAAATCGAAAGGCAAGAAACTACGAAATTAGTACTAATGCTATTGGAATGCGCGGAGACCACACTCGACAAATCAAACTTCAAAACTTCAAATATTTTGTTCAAAGTTTGAGATTGTCAAGCCAAACTTGGACAAAATATTTCTCAAGTTGGTTTCGAAGCGATTAAACTTGCAAATTTTTATCACTACAACAATAGCATAAATATTAGTTTTTGCCCCTCTTTAAAAAATGTAAGAATGATTTAAAGGATTTTATCAAAGGCTAGGCCCAATCTTCATATTCTATACATTTTCATCCTAAGTCCATTTTTTTTATATGTTCAATTCATGGCTCACCAAGTGATAGAAAATTGTTTATTTTGTCATGGGATAATTATTGTTCTCTTGGGTGATCTAGTTTACAAACTAATCAGCAAATGTATAGGTTTTGTATATTTAAGTATAATATACATAATCAAAGTATTATTTTATATATTTCGTCTATATTAGTAAATAAGTTTGCAATACATCATATTGCAATGAGTCAACTTTGAAAGTTTTTTTTTTTTTTTTTTTGGTTTCTCACCCGGTGTCCGTACCCATATTGGAGTTCGATTAAATTCAGATTCACGCGGGGAAGTTCCACATTGTGGGCTGGGGGGGGGGGGTAATACGCTCCCTAACAAAGGTGACTTTGTACCAGGAGGACTCGAACTCGAGACCTTTCGTTAAGGATGAAAGAATACTTATCACTCCATCACAACCCTTTGTTGGTAACTAAGAAAGATTTGGTGATGCTTCCTCCACTTTATTTTATGTAGTACTATTTTGGTTAGTACATAAAACTTAGGATATAAATTTAATTTGTGTACTTGATTGATAGATAGTACATAGAAGAAAATATTTGTTTAGATAATAATGGAAAGTATTGACAAAGACATATCAAATTTTAAAATTTGAATAATTAAACTATTTTGAATTCTTGAACATTAATTTAGAATGGAAGATCTAGTGTTAAAGATTTTATAGTTTTTTTAAAATAGAACAAAAATTTGGATGGAGTGCTATCACTTGCTTAAATAAAAAGCTTCCACTTCATTATAGGTCCCTATAATTATTGAAGGATTCTTGTAATTATTTTAGGTTTAAAGAGATCCTAATTGGTGTTTAACATATGTTATTAATTGATGGAATAACCATTCAAAGAGTTAATAGTGTTTATAGTTTCTTGATTTGGTGTTTGTTACTTGCTATAAACTTTGGCTAATTTAGATTCGCGACTGAAAGTATTTCTTAACTAATATGACTCTATTTTTCAGGATTCAACCTGACACCTTTGTGATTCAGAATGAAGGGTGTGCTTACAGTTCTATCAACTACGTTCCTAGGTATCGAAATGAGATTAAGGGGTGCTTACCATCTCATTGACTCTATTTTCAAGACTCGAGCTTGAAATATATGATTAAGAATGAAAAAATTTAGTAATTATCAATCAGATGTTATATATTGTTTGAGAAAGGGTTGCACCCCAAGGGCCACAACCTATATTTTGCACAAGTCTTTCTTAAAATAAGGTTCAAAATTTTATTTTAGGTTTTTCTAAAAGAAAAAAAGAGAAAAGAAAGGAAAAGGTTAGAAAAAAGGAAATAAATAGAGAAGTGAATTCATGAAAGTTAAAAGAAGAAATAGGGAAAAAATAACTGCCTTTCAATGTTTGATATAGTGTTATTCTCTTCCACTTTCCTTGTGCCAAATCTAGCAAATATGAAAGTAATTACAAAGAGTAAACATCATTATCAATAGATATCAATTATTATTTTAAGATCTTTCTTAATAGATGGACTTGACATTGTGTAAATCTCAAGATTTTAATCTTGGAAAGAGAGCCACTATTGATAAGTCCTTTCACTTTTTTATAATCTACCAAATAATGCCTTAAAAAGCATTGTTTCTAGGTTGTGATTCATAACCTCTTTGGGAAGGTAATTCGAGTACTATGTCATTGTCATTGTGGTGGGATAAATAAGATTATTTCACTCATAAATCTTAATTAAAAAATTTGAGTTCAAAGTATAAAACATTTTCAATGGATATTAGACGTCAAATAAGAAATCAAAAAAGCATTATTTTTTTTAATGGATCTTGCATAGTACGAATTCAGATTGATCAAGTGTTTTGGTAGAATGAATAAAATCACTCTATTTTTTAATTAGAGTCCTTAAATTCGAGTCATAAGAATGATAGAAACTTTGATACAAAGCACCTTTCTCTTTAACAAGTTTTACGTTGCTGATTAATCTGAACTCCAAAACGGATACTGAAACTAATAATAATAAAAAGTACTATGCCTATCATCTCCTTTTATATGATACCTTGTTAACTTTCTTTATCACATAGTACTTTCTTTTAATTAGTTTCCATTTTCCTTGTGCCAAATGTATCAAGATGAAGTAGCTTTATATGGTGAGTACCATCATTGTCAATAGATATTAATATGCATCAAAATTCTTGCTTAATATATAGACTTGGCATTGTGTAAATCTTCTCAAAAGTTGACACTTGGGAAGATAGCCATATTGATAAGTCCTTTCACTTTTTAAATCTACCAAATACTGCCTTAAAAGGAATTGTTTCTAGGTTGTGATTCATCACCTATTTTGGAAGGTAATGGAGTAATATGCCTCCAT